CAACAACAACAACCTGTAGGATAGACTTCACAAGATATTAGATTCAAATTCTGATTCCCAACAATTAGTTGTATGCCCTTGAATAACTCATTTAATCTCTCTTATCTTTTATTTCCTCATCTACAAATTGGGACAATATCCTTACAGGCTTTTGTGAGGATTAAATGACATTATACATATGAGTAGCTTAATATGGTAGCTGGCATACAGGAGATGATTTATAAATGTTAATTTACCTTGAATAAAAAAAATTACCTTGAATCCTTCATTTTAAAAATAAATAGATAACATTTTTTTTCTTGGCTGTTAGTTTACCATCTCCATATTATGTTATTAACTCCCCATCACCCAGCATCCTTTCTGGTATCCAGAGGTACCTAAATCAATGTTTGATGAATAAACTGAATTTATGTAATCTGTTCCTACCATTTCGATTTTCTCTGTCTATACGTAAACCTTTAAACATTGTAAGTGTACAGACTAGCTTGTCTCCTTATTGCTTAACATGTCACCAACAGAGAGTTATGAATTTGAGTAAAATATGATCGCCTTTCTAGGCATTTGTTTTTAAAAGTCAAAAGCACTTCAAAATAGCAACCATTTGGCAATTACACGGCACTAGTGTTTTATTGAAAATTAGTTTACAACTGCTTTTCTCTAAAACAGGCACTGCCTTCTGCTGCAGAAGATGCCTGGGTGCCTAGGAAGTTTGGGGGTAAAGGGGGGCCCCTGCCCCCTGGTGGTCAGTGTGCATCATAGTGACTGGTCAACTGGTCGTTCAGTCCTTCGGTTGCTTAGAGCAGGGATGGGCAAACTTTTTTCTGCCAAGGGCATTTGGATATTTATAACATCATTCACCCAAAATTATAAACTTAAAACTAGCCTGCTATATTTGGTCAAACATTTAATTAACTCATCCCTAATGCCTTGGCAGGGCCAGACCAAATAATTTTGCAGGCCTTATACAGCCCATGGGCTGGATGTTCCCCAACCCTGCTCTAGAGGTTGAGAGAAATAATACTATCAAGCCAAATGCCAAGCACAATAATGGGTGTGTAACACATATTATTGTATTTAATTCTTATAATTCCATGGCAGAGATATTAAATTCCCATTTCACATGAGGAAACTTTGTTTAGAGAGAGATTAAGAGACTTGCTCAAGCTGACCAACAGAACGTGGTGA